GTAGTCAGGTATCTCTGAAAAAAAAAAAAAACACAAATACGTATAAAACATAGTTTATGTCTTACATATACCTACATCTTTATCTCATGTTTATTAAATGTGAATTAGATGTCTGCTGTAAGTCACTGTCAGTCCAATTCTATATCTATATCCATATCTTCCCTGTCTTGATAGTGAGACTGGATAACTGGAAATTTCCATAGGCAGCACGGTGGATGTTAGTGCCCATCCCATGGTGTGCTGAGGTTTGACCTCAAATGGACTCCATTCCAAGCAAGTTTTATCAAAGCTTGACACTGTGTCTTGGAAACCCAGTATCTCAACAGGAAATAATTTGGTTGAGGAGGGAGGTAGTAACTGGGAAACTGGCATTGAGAGGCTACAGTCTTCTCCTATGGAGACTCACACCCAGATGGAGAGTGAAGGATGAGGTAACACTTGTGTGGTTTCAGTCCTAGACCTCTCATGAGTGCAAACACTTGTGTGGTTTCAGTCCTAGATCTTTCATGGGTGCAAACTAGAGGTTTTACTTTCTCTTTAGTCCATGGCCAGGTTGTGTGGTAGATTTCAGAAATGAGTTTGTGTCTGCCTTATCCCTAGGATGGTGGCCCCTCCCATTCAGCCCTCTGGGGGGAGGGTCCATCTGAGGTGACATGGAGTTTCCACTTCATTTAAGACCTTGTCTCCTAGTTGTGGGACCAGATCCACAGGAGGAAGAGGAGAGATAGAGTTCTCAAAGACTGGAGCATAAGACTGGAGCCCTGATATCAACATCTAAATCTCCTGACTTGGTGACACAGTTTTCATATGTCTCTCACAATATAACAAAGAGAAACTTAACATGTCTGACTTCCTATTGCTTCTATTTCCCTTGCTGCTGTGACCTATAGGTTAGAAATTTCTGCTTAGCCCTGCATGTAGGCATGTTAGTAATTGAAGGAATTTTGCTTGCAGCTAAGATTCACAAAAACCACTCTTTATTCAAAACCTACCTCACCCAAGGAGATAAGTAAGTAGCAAGAGTAGTCATCATCTCAATTCCTCAAGATTGTGGAATTATCTTAACTCGGGGGGAGTTGAAACCATGTTTCATAGGGTTAATGAGGCTGAAACTCGCAGAAAATTTAAAGCTTGTGTATCAGGGAACCATTTCTCTATAATCAGCTATTGTGTCTTCTTAGACTCCACTAACAAACGCATTAGCTGTGTCTACAGAAGCCTGGACTCAATGTCAACTGATATGGCTCCAGTCTAGGAACAAGCAGGACTGAATTCTTTACCAGAGATAAAAAGGCCAAGACACTATCAAGTTTATACTGGCTCTCAAAGCATGTCCACAGCTCCTTCATCTTGTCCTAAGATAACCTTCTGATGCCAGGGTCTGAATTTTGCCTCATTTTGATGTTAAGTCTCCATTAAGAAGTGAAAATTGGATATATGTTACATATATGTTTGCTTAATGCACATGCTCCATCTTTCCTCATGAATAGTCATTTTTCCTCATCCTTCCGATCAATATATATGTAATCTCAACTCCTGTGATTATAAAATACTGATTCTCATCCCTTTGGGGAGGCTGATTTGAGGCTTGTCTTCCCATCTCATTTGTCTGCCTCTCAAATAAACTCTTCCTTGCTGCATACCTGATGTCTCAGTGATTGGCTTTCCTGTGCTTTAGGTATACAGACATGGGTTTGGTTACAACATAGTCACCTCCACAATTGTTCCACTTATGCCTGACACACCAGTATAACTCACCTCTTTCTCCTGTCCACAGAAGTACACCGAGTGAAATTCCTCAATAAACCAGTAGTGAAGGAAATTTTTCCAGCTATAACTAACAACCCAGAAACAATCAGGGAGTGAAATAACAAAAACTCAATAAGCTGTGTAAACTGTAAAGATCTAGTTGGATTTTTAAAATGATTCATTATTATGGAAGCACCCCATCAAAGAAATAGAAAGGTGGTCTTAGGAGATACACAAACCCATCAAAGAAATGGGAAGGTGGTCTTAGGAGATACACAAAAGGGAAAGTTTTTATAGAAAGAAGTTTCAGCAGGAAAGAGTTACAGTTGGAATCTGAAAGGAGTCTACTAGAGAAACATGAGGTACTGATGTTTTAATGAAATCAAGGGGAATTTTCTAACAAAACTCCTTCTGGCTCAGGGAAGATCAGCCCTTTGTCCTATTCAGTCCTTCACCTGACTAGATGAGGCCCACTCACTTAATGGGAAGCTAACTGCCTTATTCAAATTCTACCCCTTAAATGTAAATATTATTCAAAACACTTTCAAAGAAATATCCAGAATAATGTTTGATCAAATATCTGGGCACTGTGGCTCCACCAAATTGATACATACAATCTATTATCACAATTATTAATTTGCCTAGATTTCCATATTAGATTTGAGATGTTATTAGCAATGTACTGAACCTAGGGAGTAAAATGTCCCCTAGAAAAAAACTACAGTTCATCAGAAAATCATTCACTAAAATAAAATAGTTTAGTGTTTTTCAACTTTATTTGTGTGGTTCAAATTGAATTATGGAGTTTCTTGGGGTTTCACCTTGATGAATCCTGGTTTCTTGGGTGGTAAAAAACAGGGAGAGATCATGTATGAGTGTGTGTGTGTGTGTGTGTGTGTGTGTGTGTGTGTGTGTGTGTGTATTTTTGAAGCTGTGAGGAATATTTATTGTGAGGAATGTGTGAGACGAATTACTGTGGGCTATGTCAATCTTCCTCAGTTCCTAGCACATGTTAGGAGTCAAGTCAGGTTTGTTGCTGTTTGTTTTTTCCTAGTTCTCTTTGGCCAGCTTGGTTACCATGGTGATCCAGTAACTGCTGTTGGGTTTTGTACAGACTGAAATGCATTTATGATTTTTGCTTAAAGCACTCATCACTATGATATTTGTTAACTGTCACTTTTATAATGTTGTAATTCCTTGTAGATGTAGAAATTGACATTCAAAATTTAGATAGAGCTTTTCCCTTTTCCCCTATCATTGACCTATTTAGTCATGTATTTATTTTATTAGTATGAATCATATTTTTGTATTTTACTCAAATAGTTACCCTTTGACATTATAATTATGTATTTTGATTGTCACACTGTCACAGAATTGGGCAGTGTTAGCCCGTTCAAATTGGCTTCTGTGTCCACTTGCTGCCTCCTGTGAATTCTCTGAACATGAGCTTTGCTGTGTGAGTCTGATTATCTCCCAATCTGTAGAAAGAAAGTACACTAAAACCTTGGATTGCTAGTAACTTGTTCTGTGAGTGTTCCACAAGATGTGCAAACATTTCTAATAAATTTTAACTTGATAAATGAGTGATGTCTTGCAATATGAGTAGTATGTGAAGCCAAATGTCACATGATCACAACTGAGCCAATGGTTCTCTCTCTCTCTTTCTCTCTCTGTCTGCAGGATTGTGGGTGATCGTCTCCCATGCTCGGATGCTCAGGCTCAGGCCGCGGTGTTTGGCAGAAATCAGTGAGTTTTCAGAATGTTGGAAGGTGCCCACAACTGGTACTAGTGTATTTTTTGTCACTTCAAAGCACCCATGGACAGTCCTTTTCTTTTCCACACAAGAGTAAGCTTAGGAATGCTTTGCTTCATTCTAGGTTAGGCTGCCTGTATGTATAGACCTTTACCTCTGCTGCCTTATTGCCAGTTACATTAAATCCAGTATATGACAAGAGTTTATCAATACTGTACTGTAGTCAACATCTGTATGAGTGTATACAATGGCCCCCATGAATAAAAAGATTCTATTGAGCCAAGAGATAGCAGTGATTTCATTAGTGATAGTGAAAATTGTACTACACAATGACCCTCCTCTCGTCTCCCTCACACCAGCCACGAAGGTTTTCAAAGGTAAGTGCAGGTTAATTTGTTTATTTTTCTTTATATTTTGTATTTTCTTAATTATTTTGTATTATGTTACAGTCTTGTAATAATTTTTATGTGAATATTTTTGGGTTTTGTAATGAATTATCAGAGTTTCCATTATTTCTTATGGGGGAATTCACTTTGATATACAAATGCTTTGGATTATAAACATGTTTCCAGAACAAATTATGCTCACAAACCAAGGTTTTACTATAATGTTTTTAGGGATGCCTGGGTGGCTCAGTTGGTTAAGTGTCCAACTCTTGATTATGGTTCAGGTCATGATCTCATGGTTTGTGGGTTTGAGCCCCGCATTGGGCTCTGTACTGACAGTGTAGAGCCTACTTGGGATTCTTTCTCTTTCTCCCTCTCACTGTCCCTCTCCTGCTTGTGCTCTCTCTCTCTGTCACTCAAAACAAATAAAACATGTTAAAAAAACAAATAAACTTTATTTTTAAATTAATTTTTATTGTTTATTTTTTAAATTTTTGAAGTTTTATTTATTTTTGAGAGAGAGAGAGAGAGAGAGAGAGAGAAAAAGCGAGCAGGCAAGCAGGTGAGGGGCAGAAAGGAGGGAGACACAGATCCCCAAGCAGGCTCCAGGCTCTTAGCTGTCAGCATAGAACCTGACGCCGGGCTTGAACTCACAAACTGCGATATTATGACCTGAACTGAAGTCAAACACTCAACTGACTGAGCCACCCAGAAGCCCCTAAAATAAGAAAGTAATATTTCACCTCAGAGCAATCCTCTGAGGATTTAAAGACAAAAAGTTTATCAATGCTTATTTCATTCTGTTGAAGTGATGCTTTGGGTATGAACATCATAATATGACTACTAGAAAGAATACTTGGACAGAGAGCAGCAAGCAGGAGTGGGCCAACATTTCCATGATGTGAGAGCTTCAGGGTCACTGCTGTGTGAGGGAGGGGTCTAGGGGATGGAGCTGGGGAAGAGGCACGGCATCATTTCAAAGCTTCCAGTGACCTGAGTAGGGACTGGCAACCACATCCTGTCCCATTTCCCTTGCCTTTCATGTGCTCTCTCTTTCTCTCCCTTTCCTCTCTATTCCATGTGCTATCTGATCCCCTGACTGTCCCTTCTAGTTGAACATCAAAGCAGTGTGTGGACTCTGACCCCAGAAAGAAGAGTTGAAAGAGAAAAACCAAATATGATGTTCAGTGTGCTTGACAATTTCCTGGAGCAAGAGTGAAGAGAACAGGATCCCATCACTGAGACATTTTAGGTAAGTCACTGCCCTTCCTGCAGTGTCTTCTGTACAAAGGTAACAATATTCAGTGTTCCCAGCCATCCAGGAGTATTATTAAGTGTGAACCCATGTAGGAAAGGAATATGTGGTCATAGTTGTAAGGGAAAAACTGGTGCCCTTTTGAGTAATTCTATTAACAGAGACATCCCACATATCACAGAACTCAGCATTAAACTAATGATACACAAACGTCAGATGTTTATGTCAGGAGTTTTCCAAGTATTGTCCATCAAAATTGGAACAGGTGATTGTTAAAAGAGCAGGTAAATAGGTCCACCCTAGGTCTGTTGTACCCAAACGAGTAAGGTGGGTTGGGAGGTGTCTAAATTTTAAATAGCTTCTTTTGTATATTGTGGTATTTATCCAAGTTAGAAAGTCACTACTGTGAATTGCAACAAGGTGTTCTTAAAATTTTGAATCCTTTCATGTCTTATTTTATTATAGATTTGTCCTGCAACAGAGCTTTTTGTATCTGTGTCTGCTCCCAGTGTATTAAAAGGGAACAGTTTTTTTTTATCTTCAGTCATTCTTATTCAATGTTTCATGTGAGGGAGGCTACAGTAGTTTCCTAAGGGTACCATAACAAAGTACCACAAACTGGATGGCTTAAATTATAGAAATTTATAGTTTCATACTTCTGGGGGCTAAAGCCTGTAATGAAGGTATTCCCAGAGCCAGGTTCTCTCAACGTCCTTTTGGGGACTCTACCCATGCCTCTTTATATCTTTTCGTGGTTTGTTGGCAAACTGCATATTTTGGCTTGCAGTTGTATGACTCCAAACTCTGCTTTCATGGTATTATCCCTGTTCTGTCTTCATATGGCTGTCTTCTTATAAAGATTCTGATCACATTGATTGATTTGGGGACAGACTATATTCTAGTATGATCTCATCTCAACTAATTATATCTACAACAACCATACTTCAAATATGGTTACATTGAGGTACTGAGTGTTAAGATTTCAACATATCTTTTTTTGTGGTGACACACCTCAACCCCATATCAGGCACTGCTGTGAATGCAACACACCAAACAAGATGAATGAGTGTCCCTAGTGCTTTGTATGTAGCTTGAAAAAACTGGTAATAAGCAAGAAAGGAAATGAATAAGCACGACAATTTCATATTGGAATTAACGGTTTCAAAAAGAGAATGTTTCAAAAACATTTTTTTTGGAATAGAAAATGAAAAAAAAGTTAGAGAGGGAGGGAGGCAAACCATAAGAGACTCTTAAAAACTGAGAATAAACTGAGGGCTGATGGGGGGTGGGAGGGAGGGGAGGATGGGTGATGGGTATTGAGGAGGACACCTGTTGGGATGAGCACTGGGTGTTGCATGGAAACCAATTTGGCAATAAATTTCATATTAAGAAAGAAAAGAAAGAAAGAAAGAAAGAAAGAAAGAAAGAAAGAAAGAAAGAAATCTATGGAAGAGTTTAGAGGAAGTGGCATTTTTGACATTAGAAGCTGTAGTGAGGGATTACGTGATGGATGGGGTGGAATAGTATTATCTCTTGTAAATTCAGGATGCTTCTTCATGAGGCAAAATTGTTCTAAATTTAAAAATTAAAGAGTCTTTTTATGACTGTTGAATATGATAAGCCAAAGTGGATAATGTTTTAAAACTTATAATGGATTACATGTCTAGAACTGAATTCTAAAATAAAATAGACACTTTACGTTCTAAAAAGAAAAGAAAAGAAAAGAAAAGAAAGTGAAGTAAAATAAGATAAAATAAATAAAATAAAATAAAATAAATTAAAATAAAATAAAATAAAATAAAATAAAATTTTTTCCTCAAAAAAATGATGGGACAGGGATTATTATAGATGGGGTGATTCATGAAACTATCTCAGAAAGTGATATTTGAGCTGAGTCCCGAAAAACAAGAGGAAACCAGGCTGGGGCTGGCCTTTTGGTTTGTGATATGTGTGGCACCAGCTGTTTCAGGAGCAAACAATGAGCTCAAGTGCATGGAGCCTGGCAGACAAAGTGTGGGTGGTAGGACATGAGGTAAAAGGGCAGAAAGGAGCTACATCATTTGGGCCATGTAAGGAGTTTGGAGTCATTCTGAGAGTGGTTGGGTCATGTAAGGAATTTGGAGTCATTCTGAGAATGGAGAGTTACAGTATTAGAATGACATAATCTGATTCATGTGCTCAACAACATATGAGTCACAAGGTGGCTCTCCTATTGTGATGAGAATGTTCTGGACAGGGACAAGATGTCTGTGGGGATTATCATTAAGAGAATCTTCCAGCTATCCAGCAGAGGGATGAGGGTAGCTTGGTCCAATGGTGCTGCAGTGTGCAGGGGGCAAGGGTGGCTGTGGGCAGGGCATGTTGGGGGTAGGACACTTGGGACCTGTAGTGGCTGTGGGTGAGGGTATACAAGGATAATCCAGGATCCTTGATGAGCCTGTGACTATTTGTTCAGATTTGTGCAGAAATGGTGGTACTGTTTCCTGAGATCAGTTACTACAAGCCCTTTTTATTTATTTTTTTTTAATTTTTTTTTCAACGTTTATTTATTTTTGGGACAGAGAGAGACGGAGCATGAACGGGGGAGGGGCAGAGAGAGAGGGAGACACAGAATCGGAAACAGGCTCCAGGCTCCGAGCCATCAGCCCAGAGCCCGACGCGGGGCTGGAACTCACGGACCGCGAGATCGTGACCTGGCTGAAGTCGGACGCTTAACCGACTGCGCCACCCAGGCGCCCCTACAAGCCCTTTTTAGATGTTATCATGATAATTATTTAGGCACCCAATAGTAGTTATAGTGAAATTTAGTGATTTAAAACACATATACCACTTGATAGGATTCAGTTTTAAGTTTATTGACCTTCATTAAAAACACATGAAAAGTTTTTATAAAGCTACCAAAACTGTTAGAATCTGTACTTGCATATATTTATAAAAATTATACATTTATTGAACTGTTACTGTGTGTCTCACTCTAATTGTGTTCCCGTATTAAGTCATTACAATGAGAATTCTTGAGGAAGGGCAGATTGTTTCCTCATTTACAGAAGAGGAAACTGAGGCACAGAGAGTTTCTTTCACTCTCCCAGGGTTCAGAGAAAGCTAGATTTCCCAATGTCTCTGCAGTAGAAGTTCTTAAATGATATGATTTATGATTATTCATTCTTGTAAAAAGCAAAACATGAGGATATATTTTTGTTTTAAGCTTTTTTATTCTTTGGTAAGTATTGTATAATTGCAATTTTGCAAGTCAGGCAATTGAGTGACTCTAACGTGAAGTAAAAGTAATCAAACTCACATCATCTGTAAGCAGAGGACTATGGTTTATAACCAGTCTGTCTCCAGAGTCCATACTCCTGACCAGTTCAGTTACAAAGAAGAGACATTTGTTGAACTGTGGCAGCCCATGGTGGGTGATGTTAGACCAGACCCATATCTCTTTCAGTAGTGTCAAAAAGAAAACTACAGGTCAAAATGGAGTCACTTATGCTAGGCCAAGTCACCAAACTTGGGCTTAATACCTAACCTAATTACATTTTTAACCTCCCCCAAAATTTCATCTTGACTCGCCAGTCAGGACGATTCTGGTCTAAACCAATAAAATAATCCATCACATGGGCCTCTGGATCCCCCAAAGGAAGAAGAGGTAATCCACCTATTAAACCTGTTTGTACCAAAATGAAGGTGACCTCTCCTGAAATAATCCTATTTTCTGTTAAAGACTTCCTTGTCCTCCTTTAAAATCTTTTTCCTTCCTCTAGCCCTGTCTGGAGCCTCTCTCTACTTGTTAGATGGGATGCTATCAGATTCATAAATTAATTTAAAAATCCAATTACATATATGGATTTACTCAGTCAAATTTTTGATATTTACAGTGGAAACTATGCTTTAGTACACATTTATCCATATAAAGAGGGTATTGTTTAATAAAAATGAGAAGATAATAATTATAACAACCAAAATGAAATAATCCTCACAGTTACTACATACTAGACAACTTACTATTTTTTATCTTTGTTCACTTTGTTCTTCTAGGCTTGTGGTGGTATCTCATTATGGTTTTAAGTTACTTTCTGTGAACTCTTAAGTTTTTTTTTTTTTTTTCATTCAAATGTCCTATTGCTTTCATGTTCCATTGACTAGATTCACAAACTGGATCTTTGTCTCATGGTTTTCCATTCTGAATGATGTGATTGTATCTCTAGTGTGTTGTTTATTCTGGTCCTTTGGCCCCTCTTAGGTCTTTTAAATTGGTAGTAAGATATAGAGTCTTGTTCAGATTTTGTTTCTTAGGAAAGAGTACCTCAGATATGGTGTTGCACTTCCTGTAGTGTTAAATCAGGAGCTTTGTCATGTCTGGTTATCTCTCCTCCTGTGTTGTTGAGATTTATCATTGGGTTCAGATTTTGTCAGCCTGATTCATCCATTATGAAATTTCCCATTCACTTTTTAACTCAGGTTTTTTGTAGCTTCTTAAAGATTGTTGCCTAGATCTACATTTCATTAACATATACAAAGAGTAATGTTTTAATTTTTTAATTTCATCTGCACTTATATTAGGTAGAATTCTTCTGTGAAACAAAGTACCCCTCAGCGACTACATGGTTGTACTGAAGAATAGTCCATATAGAAGGGAAGGATGAATGCTTACTTCTTTTGCAGTATTTCCACTTTTCAAAACAATGTGTTGTTTTTCCAGAATACTTCAAAGGTAAACAGTGAGTTTGTTTTATGCTTTTTGTTGTTCTTTTATAGTGTCATAATGAGCTTTAAATGCTTATATATTTGAGATTGTAATTAACTTATTGCAGACATTAAAAGTTTTGATATTTAAACTTTCCTGTCTTTGGCCTGTGGGAGTTCCTTTGGGTTGGCTTTTATGTCTTTCATATGCTTTCTGGTATGAGAGTTTGGTCCAGATTCACTTGGTACAATCCCTATCCAGCTCTGCAATCAGGCATTTCTCCAAGAAATCCTGGTTCCATCTAGAGGGAAATGTTTTTAGAGGATTCAATCTGGAAACTAAAAATGCTCATTGCTATTTGTTTGGTCACTGTTTCTTGCGTTGGAGCCTGTAGATATGAATTATAATTTTTATGAAAATACATCTCATCCTTGTCAACCCTGATCTGCTCCTCTGTGATGTTATAGGTAATCATTTTTCTCAGTTTTTGTTTTAACCCTTCAGTTAAGAAAATATAATAAAATACAATATGTATTTTAGTTTTATCCCCTGTTCATAGGTAAAAGGTGGCATATTCTACACCAGTGTTGTAAAATAGATATTTCTGCAGAAATGAAAATATTCTGTGTCCATGCTGCTGAATATGGTAGCCACTAGCTACCGTGGGTGTTAAGGTTCTAAAATATGGCTACTACCACTGAGAAACTAATGTTTAATTTCACTGAAATTTAAATAGCCCTGTATGACTAGAGGGTATGCTATTGGATGACAGCAGCTCCACACATTTTTCTGCACTTTGCTTTTTTCCCAAACAATTATCCTGGATATCATTCCATAGCAGTACAGAGGTGAAGTCTTCATTGGTTTTCTAGCTGAATGGTACACCAGGACATAGATGTGTCATAGCTTCTTAATTTAGGCCCTTATTAGTAGATAGCTGTCTTTTTTCTAGTCTTCTGCTGTTATGAATTTTTCTATAAATGAATATCTTTACACTTTGGCTATTTTATTTTTTGCATTGCTTCTTTGGAATAGATTCTTAAAAGAGAGGTTGCTGGTTCCAAGAGGAAACAGATATGTGATTTTACTAAACAGCCATCAAATCCCATCCACTGGGTTTCTACCAATTTACATTTCCTCCAGTGATGCATGGAAATTCCCATTTCTTCACAGAATATCTGACTAAGAAGAAGTACATTTTTTTTTCTTGGCATGTCTTATCATGAATTAGGTTGAGCAATTTTTACATGTTTTAGAGTCTTTTTTTTTCTGATAAAATACCTGTTTGTATTCATCACCCCTTTTTCTTCCCTGGTGTTGTTCCCTTTACTTTTTCATGATTCTTGATATATCAGGAATACAACCTTTGTGATGTAAGTTGAAAATATTTTCCCCAATTTGTAACTTTTCATTTTACTGTGCTTATGTTTTTTTTTTTTTTTTGCTTTTGCCATGCAATTTTTTTATTTATTTATTTTTTATTTTTTTTATATCTACTTGAGTGGTTTATTTATTTTTTTTATTTATATATGAAATCTATTTTCAAATTGGTTTCCATACAACACCCAGTGCTCATCCCAAAAGGTGCCCTCCTCAATACCCATCACCCACCCTCTCCTCCCTCCCACCCCCCATCAACCCTTAGTTTGTTCTCAGTTCTCAACAGTCTCTTATGCTTTGGCTCTCTCCCACTCTAACCTCTTTTTTTTTTTTCCTTCCCCTCCCCCATGGGTTCCTGTTAAGTTTCTCAGGATCCACATAAGAGTGAAACCATATGGTATCTGTCTTTCTCTGTATGGCTTATTTCACTTAGCATCACACTCTCCAGTTCCATCCACGTTGCTACAAAAGGCCATATTTCATTTTTTCTCATTGCCACGTAGTATTCCATTGTGTATATAAACCACAATTTCTTTATCCATTCATCAGTTGATGGACATTTAGGCTCTTTCCATAATTTGGCTATTGTTGAGAGTGCTGCTATGAACATTGGGGTACAAGTGCCCCTATGCATCAGTACTCCTGTGTCCCTTGGATAAATTCCTAGCAGTGCTATTGCTGGGTCATAGGGTAGGTCTATTTGTAATTTTCTGAGGAACCTCCACACTGCTTTCCAGAGTGGCTGCACCAATTTGCATTCCCACCAACAGTGCAAGAGGGTTCCCGTTTCTCCACATCCTCTCCAGCATCTATAGTCTCCTGATTTGTTCATTTTGGCCACTCTGACTGGCGTGAGGTGATACCTGAGTGTGGTTTTGATTTGTATTTCCCTGAGAAGGAGCGACGCTGAACATCTTTTCATGTGCCTGTTGGCCATCTGGATGTCTTCTTTAGAGAAGTGTCTATTCATGTTTTCTGCCCATTTCTTCACTGGGTTATTTGCTTTTCGGGTGTGGAGTTTGTCTCTTTAACAAATGGTGCTGGGAGAACTGGACAGCAACATGCAGAAGGTTGAAACTAGACCACTTTCTCACACCATTCACAAAAATAAATTCAAAATGGATAAAGGACCTGAATGTGAGAAAGGAAACCATCAAAACCTTAGAGGAGAAAGCAGGAAAAGACCTCTCTGACCTCAGCCATAGCAATCTCTTACTTGACACATCCCCAAAGGCAAAGGAAATAAAAGCAAAAGTGAATTACTGGGACCTTATGAAGATAAAAAGCTTCTGCACAGCAAAGGAAACAAGCAACAAAACTAAAAGGCAACCAACGGAATGGGAAAAGATATTTGCCAATGACATATCAGACAAAGGGCTAGTATCCAAAATCTATAAAGAGCTCACCAAACTCCACACCCGAAAAGCAAATAACCCAGTGAAGAAATGGGCAGAAAACATGAATAGACACTTCTCTAAAGAAGACATCCGGATGGCCAACAGGCACATGAAAAGATGTTCAGCGTCGCTCCTTATCAGGGAAATACAAATCAAAACCACACTCAGATATCACCTCACGCCAGTCAGAGTGGCCAAAATGAACAAATCAGGAGACTATAGATGCTGGAGAGGATGTGGAGAAACGGGAACCCTCTTGCACTGTTGGTGGGAATGCAAATTGGTGCAGCCATGCAATTTTTAAATAAAATTAAATGCATCACTGTTTTCTCTAAATGCCTCTGGAATTTTAGTCATAGTTGGAAAAGTTTCCTATACCACCAAGTTATAGAGGAATTTTACTATATGTACTTCTGTGGACAGGAGAGAGATGAGAAAGAGATGGATCATTTTGGGGTGTTAGGAATAAGAAGAACAGTGGAGATGTGACCATGTTGTTAGCAATCTGTGAAAACCATGTCACCAAGTCAGGAGAATTTGATGTTGAGATTAGGGTCTTGATCTTCTGCCCATCTTTGAAAATTCAGTCTCTCCTCTTTCCCCTGTGGATGTGGATTCAGGTTTCCACAAGTGGGACATGAGCTCTTCAATGAAATAGAAACTCCATGCCATGCCATAGGTCCCCTCACATAACTGAAGAGGAGGGGATAAGATAGGGACAAAATCATTTCCAAAATCTACCACACCATCAGTTCCTGCACTAATGTGAAAGTAAAACCTCTAGTTTGTACCCATGAAAGAACAAAGACTGAAACCATACAAGTGTTACCTTGTCCTTCACTCTCTATCTGGCAGTAAGTTCTCCTCAGGAGACGGTTGTAGCCTCTTAGTGCTATTGAAGAGGGTGGAGGTATGGGTTCCAAGTTGGCTCAGTTTCCCAAGTACAACCTCTCCCCTTACAATCACATTGTTTCCTGTTTAGATGCCATGTTTCCGGGACTCAGGGTCAAGCTTGGATGAATGTTGCTTGGAATGGAGTCTTTTTGAGGTTAAACATCACCACCACCCCACGGGGTGGGCACCAACAACCATCTTGCTGCTTGTAGACGTTTCTAGTTATCCAGTCTAGGTGCTAAGAGAAGGAAGATGTGGATGCAGATGTGGAATCGGAATGACTTTGCCTGGCACATAGTAAACATTTAATTCACATTTAATAAGCATGATATGAAGATATAGATAAGTAGGATCTGAAAGTATGTATATGTTCTTTCATTATTTTAATACACATATGAATTTTTCAAGGAACATTGGGATCACATAGCAGTTATTGTTTAATAATCTGGTTTGAAGAAAACTTTTTGTTTCCATTTCTAAAAATTATGTCTTTTCATTAGAATAGATAACCTATAGAAATTGAAAATGATGTGTCTATGTAGATTTGTGGACCCTGTGGTAGGTCATCTGTAAAATGGGTAGGTTGATACTTACCTCACAGAGTTGTTGTGAGAAGAAATGAATAACTAATAGGACATATTTGAAACATAATACTGTAAAACTTCCACACACATATGTGTGGTGTCTCCTGTGTTCTCCCGTCAACAAAAGAGATGACTTAACCATAAGCAACTCATAGATTTCATTGGGCTTTGACACAGCAGAAAAGGAAATGTACACATATTTATACATTGGATTAGCTTTAGTGACATTTCTTTGTAGATGAGTTACCTGATTAGGGTAATGAGGAAGCAAATCACCCCCTCATTACTGGTGTGTGTGTGTGTGTGTGTGTGTGTGTGTGTACACAACATAATAATTTATTTATTTGTATCTATATCATGGAATGATCATCACAGTAAGTGTTGTTAACATTTATCACCTTACATAGTTACAGATTTTTGTGTGTGTGATGAGGACTTTTTAGATCTAGTATTTTGACAACTTTCAAATATGCAATACAAATATTATTAATTATATCACCATGCTGTACATGACGTCCTCATGGGTTGTTTATTGTATGAATAGAAGTTTGTACCCTTTGACCCACCTCACCCATTTTGCCCACCCCTCAGCCATGGCTTCAGGAAACCAGCAATGTCTCTTCTATATCTATATGCTCAGGTTTTTAGTTTGTTTGTTTAGATTCTGTACCTGAGGTCATATGGTACTTGTGGTTGCCTGACTTACCTCATTTAATACACTAGGCTGGAAGTCCATCCATGTTGCCACAAATGGCAAGATTTTATTCTTTTTTTGTGGCTGAATAATACTCTTTTGTGTATATATAAAGCACATTTTTTTAATCCATTCTCGTCTATTGACACTTACGTTGTTTCTATATCATGGCTATTGTTAATAATGCTGCAATTAACGTGGAGGGTGCATATATCTTTTCAAGTTAGTGTTTTTGTTTTCATCAGATAAGTACCCAGAAGTAGAATTGCTGGATCATATGGTAGTTCTATTTTTGTTTTTGTTTTTGTTTTGTTTTTTGATGAACTTCTATAATGGTATTTTATAGTGGCTACACCAGTTTCCATTTCTAGTAACAGGACACAAGGGTGCCATTTTCCTCACATTCTTCAACACTTGTTATCTGTTTTTGTTTTCATGATAGCCATTCTAAACATGGGAGAGATAAATCTCATTGTGGTTTTGTTTTGCATTTCTCTGATGATTAGTGATGTGAGATATTTTTATGTATTGTTTACCATCTCTATGTCTCCTTGGAATACTGCCTATTCAGACCTAATGTCCATTTGTAGATTGCATTGTTTGTTTGTTTTTTTCCTTTTTGCTATTGAGTTGCATGCATTTGTATATATATTTTGGGTATAAACCTCTTATCAGATATTATAGCTATTTGATTTTATTTCTGGTCTTCTTTTTTAATTTCCATTTTGAAATTGCAATAGCAGTCTCCCATTGACTGCTGGAAAGGAGACCATACAGAATAACAGAGTGTGAAGATGGGTCTGCTGTACAACAGACTGAAAAATGGAGACATGAGTCTCAAATACTGGATTGGTCCTTACCTACAGGTCTGTGGGTAGTGACTTCTGCTGTGCTGGCCTCAGGCCTTACAGAGAAAGACTGCATATCCCAATGGTTAGAGTGGGAGAAAATTGGGCACATTTAATTACTGGTTTCATAATCTTTAGCAAATTTTGAGTCTTCAGATATATGAGACATACATGTAATGTATATGCATTAAATTTGCATACATGGAAAATATTATGGGTATGTAATGGACTGAATTGTGTCCACACAAAATTCATGCATTGAAATCCTAACACCCAGTACCGTAAAATGTGATAGTTTTTGGAGACAAGACACTCAAAGGGAAATTAAGATAAAATGAAATTGTATGGGTGGGCCCTATACCAATATAAATGGTGCCTTTATAAAAAGGAGAATAGGTCACAGAAAGACAGATTTAGTGGTATCTATGTGAGGATACAGTGAATAGGCAACCATCTACAAGCCAAGAAGAAAAGCCTCAGAAGAAACCAAATTTGCTGACACATTGACGTTGGACTTTTAGCTTTCACAATTTTGAGAACATTTATTTCTATGGTTTAAGTTAGCCAGTAATCTGTGTAATTTTGTTATGAAAGCCCTAGCAAGCTAATAAAGGAAGGAAATGCACAAATATGATACTTAAAAAAAATTAATGAGTGGTGGGGTTGCAGTTTATTTATTTTTACCTGAAATTAGCTATAGTTTTCACTTTCTCTAAATTACTATAGATGATTTTTCAAAATCAGAATTGAAACCATGGTTGTTTTGAAATATTACAGATTTAAGATAGTTATAGAAAAAAAAAAGTATATCAGACTTCTCTGCCCTAATATTCATAAGTAAACACTACATACAGAAGTGACACTCACTTTGCCTTCTTCTATGATGTCCCAGATATGACCAGTTCCAGTAATTGGGGATTTTGCTCTTGAAATCTTTATCATTTCTCCTTCAGTGAATGAAATATTACATTGTTTTATTACAAGTGTTATTTATAGATGCCTGGCTATTTAATCGAAAAGGAGGAAGGAAGAAATATAAAAAGAACGAATTCACATCTCAAAAAAGTGATCTCCATTTCTGCCTCCTTGACACATGTGTTCTCTTTCAGAGCTTCTAACATGGACACACCCATTTTCTCACTTTACATGCTGTAGGGAACACTTACAGAATGAGCAGATACTATGTTCACTCACTTAAATCAGCTGTGTTCACACTTAGAGTTCCCAAGCTCCAGCTAGCCCCAAATTGTGTCTCAACGTTTCCTGAACCTGAAACATCTTCATTTGTTCAGGCCGAATTTTCTGGCTTTCATTCACACTGTTACTTACCTAGGACTGTACATGTGGAGCTACTCTGGAATATCCTGGTGAGGTTGGACAGTGATTGTAGGGAGTTAATTTTCCTGTGTCCAGACTAACGCCCAAATCCTTAGTTTGGTTTAGGGATGCATACCATTTTGGTTTTGAGCTGATTTGTATTACAACTGCTGGGCACATTAATATTTTAATTTATGTTTACTATTTTAGTTACACAATGAGGGTACTTCAGAGGTGTTTCAATCTATGTGTGTTTGCTTACTTGCACCCTGGGCTAAAGGAGCTTTTGTTTAGACTTCTCCCTGAATCTCTATGTTGAAGCATCTCCCCTCTGGAAGCTGGGCCATCATGCACCCTCCCCCTTTCCCTCCCCTGTGGGTTCTCTGATTGGCTAACTGGAAGTTTAAACCTATGAGCCTGCTTTTAGTTCAAGGGACTTTTATTTGTAAAGAACAGAAAGAAGCATTTTGATAGTAATTTTCTCTCATGACCTTCACTAAATCCTGGGAAGTGGAAACATCATAGGACTGTGAAATGTAAGGGTTTATTTGAAAGACATGCTTGCCTTTCCCTTAGGCATCTGTTGTGTCCCTAAAGCCACCTAATTAAGACTGTCATGTGGTAGATTCAAAAATTAATTTTATGACACCTTATTACACTATACCCTTGCTTTAGAGATTTTCTACATCTGATGCAGACTCACTCTCCAGTGGGAATGGCTGAGGATATTTATTTTTCTCTTATTTTTTCGCTTCTAAACCCAAGTGCTTTTGTTGTAAATAAAAATGTAAAATACAGGACATGAGGAAAAATAAATCATTGGAAACCCTTAAAAGTCTATTACTCAGGGATAAGCACTGTTTCCATTTGCATATATATATTTTTCAGAGATTTTACTATGCAAATATAACTATACTTAAGAAAAGAAATAATATTCTACCTACAGTTTTGTAAACTGATTTTTATGATAAATATTATATTATGAAAGTCAGTGAATGCCATACAATGTGAATGCACATAATAAAAATGGCAGTTGAAACTTTAATGGTCCATTCTGAAATGATATTAGTAATATGATTAATATTCATTGTTGCTGTCCCCTGTCCAATACTGCTGTAAATGCTAAACCTATACTTACTCATTAATTCTTACTACAACCTATCAGGAGGAGCTATTGTTGCCTGACTTTAAATATCAAGGAACTGAAGCACAGTAAGAGCAGGCCTGGTAAGATTCAAGACATAAATTCAAAAACAGGCTGTGTGGCTCCTGAGTAAATACGTCTTATCAGTATATGATATTGCTGCTCATATCATAAGATACCACCTTATTTTAATCACACCAAGGAAACAAATCCAGAAATAAAGAAACAAAACTAAGGTACTGTATTAGTTTACATGGACTTCTGTAATAAAGTATACAGACTGGTGACTTAAAACAACAGAAATTGACTTTCTTGCAGTTCTGGAAGCTGAAAGTCTGAAATCCAGTGTCAGTGGGGTCTTGCACATTGAGACATTAGAGACAATCCTCCTTGCCTCTTTCTGGCCTCTCGTGGTGAACATTAGTCCTTAATGTTCATTGCTTGCGGCAATAATATTCCAACCTCTACCTCTGTTATTGCATGTTTTCCCTGTGTGTCCCATTCTTGTTCTTCAATGGCATTTTCACCTTCTTATAATGCCATAAGTCATGTTGGATTGGGCCTGACCTAATGAACTCACGTTAACCTGATGCATTTGCAAGGACACTATTTCCAAATAGGGTCTTATTCATAAGTTTTAGAACCTCAGCAACTTTTGTGAGCAAATACAATCATATAGCAGGTACAATGACTTTTCCCATCTAACTAGGCAGAAAATATTATTTCAATAACCAGAGGATGGGATTAAAAAAAAAAAACAAACTAAGAGTACCTATTCTCCTCTGACTCATCCCATTATGCTCACAGACATGATGAAAGACAATGTAGGAAAGGTCCTTCTTATGATTCTTTTATTAATTAATTTTATTTATTTGTTTTATTTAAGTATATTTGACATAGAATGTTATATTAGTTTCAGTTTTACAACATATTGATTAGACAATTCTATACATGACACAATGCTCACCCTGGTGAATATAGTCACCATACCACATTATTACAACATTGTTGATTATATTCTTTATGCTGTTCTTTTCTTCTCCATGACTTATTCATTTTTTAACTGGAAGTTGGTAACTCTTCATTCCTTTTACGTATGTCACCTATCCTCTCACCTACCCCACCCCCTCTGGCAACCACCAGTTTATACTTGGTACTTAAGAGTCTACTTTATGTTGTTATTGTTTCTTTGCTTGTTCATTTGTTCTTCTAGTTTTGACATATAATTCATATAATTGAAATCATGTGGTATTTATCTTTCTCTGTCTGACTTATTTCCCTTAACATAATTCCCAAATCACAAATAGCAAGATCTCACCTTTGTTATGGCTGAGTAATATTACATTTTATGTATATACCACATATACTCACTATGAATCTTATTGGTAAATGGATCAATATGATATTTTCAGGCTTTGTTGCAAGCAAGGTACTGTTTCCCCAGAAACTGTCTTTTAAGACTATGTGATAAGAAGGAATTCAACCACTTACATTAGAGGCACCCTGGGTGAGTTCTCCATCCTGTTACTTCCTCAGTATCTTTCGGTTTCAGAGCATTTACTCTTATTCTGGGTCAGGATAATGCTGCTGACCAATCACAAATGATGCAGGAACAGATATCTGGAGCCACCATGGCCATGCCCAGGCACCAACACAGGTTTCAAGACAGAGTAGGAAGTTTCAGAACTGACACATCACTAGTGGGTACTAAATGATATCAAAGATGAGCTCATGGATGAAGACTGGTGAGTCCAGTAGTGAAAATAAGAGAAAGGGGAAACCCAAAGCTAGGGAAAATATACAAAACTTAGCAAAAACTCCATTGGTGGAAAAAGCCTTGCCAATTATACCTAATTATTATGTACTTTCGGCCTGCCTTCTAAACACAAAAAACTCTTTTCTTTCCTTGGTATCAAAACACGCATTTAACCTTTAATTTTTTGTTAGTGTTTTTAATTTTTTCTTTAGACAAATGATGCATTTCATTGCTGAAAATGTAGTAGTTATGGATGAACAAATTGAAGCTCCCTATGTTGTTCATTTTGAGCCTACAGAATGACATACAGAACAAATGTGTCAAACTTTTTTCAAATAAGTTATTTTCAGAGTAAATACCCCAAGTCAGCACAGACTTAGTAAAGCTATATTGTTTAACAATGTTCAGTGAAAATCAGTGACCCTGAGACATGCCACATTTCAAGTGCTTTGGGAATCATCAAAGACACATTCAACAATGCAAGATCTTCATCTGGAGTTCAGAATATATCAAATCCATTGACAAGTCAGTGGTGCTGTACTGTATATATCTACTTGGTTGAAGATATGACTTTATTTTTTGTAAGAGAGTTTCCATATCTAAGAAGGGAGAGAGAGCAAACTGGCAAACATATAGTTAAGGCTTTCCCAGGAATAATGCCTTTTGGATCAACTGTCCCAAGGGAGTGGCAGATGCCATTTATGTACCAAGAGGTGAATGTAATTTCCCTGTTGAATGCTGTAATCAAGAACAAACAACTGTTGACTCTACAAATTAAACAATACTGTGTTCGTTTTAATTTTTTTTAATTGACTGTGTGCCCTTCTTTGTCTCCTACAGCTCTACCACCTCCAAAACACGCTTACAGTTATAGCTTACTGTCAGTTCAGACCAGAGCTGGACCTCCAATATCAGGATTAGATACCCCATAAAATGTGGGTGTTTTTTTAGTATCAGAAAAGTGATAGATACAGAGGAATTGTTTGAGTTGAGAGAAATTCCAAAGAGCTGCCTGATTCCATGAAGTTAAGCTCCCAACCTCCATCCTCCCTCCCCTTGCAGAGTCTCCTTTGCTGAGACTCTCAGAGTTGCCATCCTGGATCTCAACACTGAGTAACATCACACTTATTTCCATTTCTGTAGCTCTCTTTTAATGAAGAGTACATTTTGCAAAGACTATAAAAATATGAGTTTGTATACTGTGATACCAATTTTACAAGGAAAATTCATAAATATATTAGCAGATCCATTTGCTGTTGACCCAAGACTACATGGTGTTCATTGATGTCCTTCTTTCTTCATCACTTTCTGCTGAGGTACAGTGTGGACTGTACAGAGGGTCCTTACCAGAGAATGGCATGTTCACCCTCTATTACCCCACCCTTATATAGGCTGCACATACCTTCTTCCCGCTCTCTGTCTTTCATCCTCTGTCAATGACACAAGAGACGGCTGCCGAGACCCCAATCTTATGCCCCATTCTCTTTCATCACCTACCCCCTCTTCTTACTGCACCACCCCTGGAATACCTGCCACAGTGGGGCAAATCACATCACTGCCATCAAGCTTTTCAATGTAGCCAGGCCCTGAAATATATGCTTTCATAATTTTATTTTAAACCTACCAGTTTATTTCAGACAGAAGTAGAATCATATTGTGTAGGTTCAAAGCCTGGAGTTTGGGGAGATTATTGTGTTTAGTATTACTACTTGCAGACACCAAGGAAATATTTGATGGTAATGGTGCTTTGGTGCCACCTTGTGATAAAAGTCTGAACTGCAGCTTGAACATCTCCAGGAAGGAAAGTGGGAGGGAGGGGCTGTGACCTAAACACCTCAGACTGAGCTTTCTAGAAGTCTGGATGGAAAGGGTGGAATTTCTTGGGTATATTGGGAATATTGATGGAATTCTCTAGGCATTTCATATAAATGGAATCATACAATATGCTATCTTTTCAATATTCAGCTTCTTTCTCTTGGCTTAACATTTTCAAGGTTCAAACATAATCAGTATGTCATTCCTGTATTAAAAGTTTAATTTTATTTAATTTATTTAATTAACATACAGTGTTATATTAGTTTCAGGTGTATCATAATTCAACAATTCCATACGTCACCCAGTGCTCATCACAACAAGTGTACTCCTTAATCCCCATCACCTATTTCACCCATTTTCCCTCCCACTTCCCCTCTGGTAAACATCAGTTTGTTGTCTATAGTTAAGTTTCTTGATTTCTCTCTCTCTGCTCATTTGTTTTGTTTCTTAAATGCCACATATGAGTGAAATCATATAATATTTTTCTTTGTCTGACATTTCACTTAGCATTGTACTCACTAGCTCCATCCATGTTCTTGCAAATGGCAAGTTTTCATTCTTTTTATGGCTGAATAATATTCCATTGTGTATATATACCACATCTTTATCCATTCATCTATCAATGGACACTTGGACTGCTTCAATAATTTGGCTATTGTAAATAATGCCTCTATAAACATAGGGGTGCATGTATCACTTTGAATTAGTGTTTTGTATTTTGGAGATAGATATCCAGAAATGCAATTACTGGATCATACAGTAGTCCTATTTTTATCCTTTTGAGGAAACTCCATACTGTTTTATGCAGTAGCTGCATCAGTTTGCATTCTCAACAGTGGAGGAGGGTTCCTTTTTCCCCACATCCTCTCCAACACTTGTTTCTTATGGTGAGAGTGGACATTCTTGTCTTGCTCCTAACCTTATGGGGAAAGCTCTCAGTTTTTCCCCATTGAGTGTGATGATGGCTGTGGGTTTTTCATATACGGCCTTTTTTATGTTGAGGTACATTCCTCTAAACCTACTTTGTTGAGGGCTTTTATAATGAGTTGATGTTGTACTTTGTCCATGCTTTGTCAAATGTTGTACTTTGCATCTATTGAAATATTCATATGGGTTTCATCCTTTTTCTTAATCATGTGATGTATAACATTGATTGATTTGTGAATATTGAGCCACCCTGACATACCAGGAATAAATCCCACTAGATTGTGGTGAATGATTTTTTAAAATATATTGTTGACTTTTGTTTGCTAGTATTTCATTGAAGATTTTTGCATCTATGTACATCAAAGATATTGGCCTGTAGTTCTCTTTCTTTGTGGTGTCTTTATCTCATTTTGGTATCAGTGTAATGCTGGCCTCATATAATGAAATTGAAAGTTTGCCTTCCTTTTCTATTTTTTTGAAATAGTTTGAGAAGAATAGGTATTAACTCTTCTTTGAATGTTTGCTAGAATTTGCCTCTGAAGCTTTCTGGTCCTGGACTTTTGTTCGTTGGAAGGCTTTTGAATATTGATTCAATCTCTCTGCCTGTAATTTGTCTATTCAAATTTCTATTTTTTCCTGCTTTAGTTTTGGTCGGTTATATGTTTCTAGGAATTTATCCATTTCCTCTATGTTGTCCAGTTTGTTGGCATATAGGTTTTTATAATATTCTGTTTTAATTGTTTGTATTTCCATGGTCTAGGTTGTTGTTTATCCTCTTTTGCATGTAATTTTATTTATTTGAGATCTTTATCTTTGTTTCTTAATGAGTCTGACTAGAGGTTTATTAATGTTGTTGATCTTTTCAAAGAACCAACTCCTGATTTCATTGATCTGTTCTGTTTGGTTTGTTTGTTTGTTTCTATATAATTTATTTATGCTCTAATCTTTATTATTTCCTTCCCTTCCTTCTGCTGTTTTTGGGCTTTGTTGTTCTCTTTCTAGCTCCTTAAGGTGTAAAGTTAGGTTGTTTATTTGATATTTTTCCTGCTTTTTGAGGTGGGCAAAGTATTGTGATAAACGATCCTTTTTAGAACCACTTTTACTGCATCATAAATGTTTTGGACTATTGTATTTTCATTTTTTTCCATGTACTTTTGGATTTCTTCTTTGATTTCCTGCTTGACCCATTCATTGTTTAGTAGCATGTTATTTAACCTCCATGTGTTTGTGTTCTTTCCAGATTTTTTCATATGGTTGATTTCTAGTTTCATAGCATTGTGGCAGAAAAGATCCATGTCCTATATAACTTGGATCTTTTTAAAATTGTTGAGACATGTTTTGTGGCCTAATATGTAATCTATTCTGGAGAATGTTCCTTGTGCACTTGAAAAGAATGTGTATTCTGCTGTTTTAGGATGGAATGTTCTAAATAAATCCATATGGTCCAGTGTGTCATTCAAAGCCACAGTTTCCTTTTTGATATTCTGTTTGGATGATTTGTCCATTGTTGTAGTTGGAATGTTAAAGTCCCCTATTATTATTATATTACTATGGATTAGTTACTTTATGCATATTAACTGTTTTATGTATTTGGGTGCTCCATGTTCAATGCATAAATATTTACAATTGTTATATTCTCTTGTTGGGTTGTCCTCTTTTTTATTATACAATGTCCTTCTTTGTCTCTTATTATAGTCTTTGTTTTAAAATCTCTTTTGTCTAATATAAGTATTGCTATTCAGCATTTCTTTTGACATCCATTTGCATGATAAATTTCAATCTTTAGCTGTCTCTAGGTCTAAAATTAGTCTCCTATAGGCAGCATATAGATAAGTCTTGTTTTTTTATCCATTCTTTCACTTTATGTTTTTTATTGGAGCATTTATTCCATTTACACTCAAAGTAATTATTGATAGATATATATTTATTGCCATTTGATCACCTGTGTTGTGGTTGTTTCTTCTCTTTCTCTGATCCTTTATTCTCTTTCTTTGTTTCAGGGTTTGCTGGTTTTCTTTAGTGATATATTTGGATTTCTTTCTTTTCATTCTTTGCATATATACTAGTGGTTTTGATTTGTGGTCACTATTAGGTTTGTATATAACCTCTTCTACATAAAGTATATATTAAATTGATGGTCATTTTAGCTTTACCCCACTCTTAATCCTTTCCTTCCCACATTTTAGGTATATGGTGTGATATTTTGCATCCTTTTATTTTGTTACTTCCTTAACTAATTATTTTATAAAATATTTATTGTTACTGCTTTGTGATCCCTATTTTCATACCATCACTTTTGGTCTTTTCTTTACACTCAAATAGTCCTGTTGAATATTTCTTGCAGGGGGAAGCCATTCATTGCTTGTAGACAATGGCAGACTTCTCTAAGATGAGCCTTA